CTCAGAAGTCACACATTAACCTTATACCACTAATATGAAAAACTAGGCCTAACGGGTACATGTACATATCATCAACATAATCCACCTCCATGTACTACTAAAATAATAACCTGTATGAATCCCTGGATGAATGGATCTCAGTGGTGTGCATTACGATATACTGCTGTACGGCCAAGGCCGGATGTACGGTGTGAACGCTAAATACCGGATTTCTTGCTACGTGATGTCATTAATGATCATAATAACATATATATATATATATATATATATATCGTCATGGTCATATACTAGTTTGTGGTCTAATGTCATTTAGGTTAGGGTTAGGGTTAGGGTTAGGATTATCAATCATTAATCATTAATCATTAATAATATCAAAGTTGGGAGCACTCCTGATGGAGCGTTAGCCCACGTTACATAACGTGGGGTAATGACCACCTCTATTTAGAGGTGATTTGCATACACTGTTGCAAATAACCAGTGTTCTTGTAATATACAGTGTTCTTGTTGGAATAAATTAGGTGGGGGGGTAAAGATTGTTACTATAATAAAACCAGTCTTACAATTTTTATATCGTAATGCACACCACTGAGATCCATTCATCCAAGGATTCATACAGGTTATCATTTTAGTAGTACATGGAGGTGGATTATGTTGATGATATGTACATGTACCCGTTAGGCCTAGTTTTTCATATTAGTGGTATAAGGTTAATGTGTGACTTCTGAGAACTAAACTGATTACTAGATTTAAATGCTTTATAAATGCCAGGAATTCTCACATCGGTCACAAGTTTTTCTTAACAAAATTAGCTCGTTTTCAAACGGTTGGCATTTTAGTGCGTCGCACAACAGGGAACTATGTGTATGTGTATATCACATTCTGTAACTTATCAGACATGTTACAATAAAGGCAGTCGGTGGTGCGGCTACATGCGTGTTATATTATTTCAATTGTGTAACTGAATGCATAGCCTACATGTACTAGGCAGGTTAGAAGTGTCAGCCTGCAAGTCTTTGCCCCCCCCCCCCCGTTGAGGCAAGAAACTGTGCGATGTGCTTACAAGTGAAGGTTAACACAATCGAGGCGAGTTGTTTAGCACGCAATTGGAGTAGAAGACGTCCCGAGGCAGCAGCTGTGCTGCCACACAGTTGTGTAGAGACACTTGTAGATAACATCAGCCGCGTTCACAAAGTTGGGAACACTCCTAATGGAGTATCACCCTACAAAGACGTCACACCCATGTATAAGTGAAATAATAATATGAATATTTATATATGAGCTCCATCCCTTGCATGTTTATAACTAGCACACAGTCGCACGTAGGCACTCGATCTACAATGGCTACTTACATATAGTTGCCTTTCAACTAGTTAAGCAAAGGAACTAAAATTCGAAAATTGTGTAGGCTAATTTTGCAAACAACTTTGGTCTATTGTATCATATGACTAGGTTTTACTGACCAACTTAAGCAGGTTGACCACATGATCAGATCACAAGCATTCCTTAAACATGTGCTGGGTGAGCAAAGGCCATGGGTTATACGATTATCAACCGCACATCATATACATATACGTTTTCACATTAATAAGAATACACTATATAACATAAATCGAGACATTTTATGTATTTAGATATTTAGATATTTTATGTAACCGTATAATACTACAATTGCCATACTACTATGGAGTTCTTATTCCGATGCAAACTTCCAGCATTGTGCACTTTATATGTAAAATCTCACACGATCACGATTTCATTAAATTTCGAAGGAATCTTTTAAAAGGCTTTGAGTTTGCTAGACCAATGGCGACGAGGCACAGCGCATAAGCGAGCATCGTTAAGATGAAGCTGTTCTCCTTCAGCCACGACGGTCTCTGTGCCAGCAAACTGCAACACAGGTGCCACCATCTCGATTACACATGATATGCACATCGTGGGGCAAAAAAGGTGAATACAGGAGGAATAATGAAAGGCAGGTGAATATGTAATAAGGGCAACTGAATAGATGAATACATGTATGTAAATTATTAATTATGTGATATGTAATATAACAATGTGTTCAAACAATCACGTTGGAACACACGTGTCACTTGAAATTGGCTAGAGTAAGCCACAAAGGAGGGGATGAATGGAACAAGCACACTATCTAGAATTAAGACCAGGTGAACGAGCAAATATATACCCATCAAACATCCATGACGATGAGCAAATAGAAAAATGAATGAACTGGTCTTCCTTGTTCCTTGTTTATGTGACCGATTCACGATTTTAAAGGGCAATCACATACGCTTTCTTCATAGATTGGGAATAATATAATTATATGGTAGTAACCAAAATCAACTGGTATTCACGTAAAAAATGGTGATGGCCACTTCAGCTATGGTGCCAAAATACCTTTGTTGAGGGGTTGAATCAACATATACAAGTAGACTCTTGATACGGAGCAGTTCATTGTTTGAAACAACAAAGTATCTCTCTGGTACCGTTCCTCCCTCACTGTTATGAGCCAAGCCTCTCTGCTTATTACTGTCACCTGAATGCAATGTATATATAAGAAACATGAACAAGTTGTTCTATATAATATATAAGAAACACTCTGTCCGCCAAACCTTGAACACCAAACTCGTATTGCAACTATATGCTGTATAATATAATGAATGTAACAATTTTTGTGCAATAATATAAGTTTAGTTTAGTTAGCTTCTGCTATAATAGATAACGCTGCTGTCTAAGTATGAGCAAGGTATACTATTATTGAATAAATCTGGCTCACCTATCTATATCACTACACTTCTAGCAGTGAAAGATAGCAATCTCGAATAATTGCAAGCACATGTAAAGAGAACTCAACATATGAAGCCACAACACAACAGGCATTATTGCATTGTTGTAACAATTACCTCTCTGGGACAAAAAGCTACATAGAGCATAATAGCGCTAATATAAAGATATTTATCAGTAATGTGGAAACTTGTTGAGCAGACAAAACATTGCATCATCTCAATCATTAACACGAATACAACCTTGAATAGAGCACTTGATTGCTGGGTGGTCAATGATCTCACACATGGCAATGCAACTGAGTTTACGACCCAGCTGGCTGTGTTTCCATCCGGTGCCGTGGGGGCTGTAGTGCATGGATAACGTCAACTCATTGGATAAGTAGGTCCCCTCTCCAAACAATGATGTCTGTCAATGACAAATAGTTACACGTTTGAAAATGCTTCCCACACAGTTTTACATATTTCCCGTTTATTTTAACCACCACATCTAAATGTGCAAAAATTCAACCAAATGTAAAATCCTTATTATATATATATATATATATATGATTATATTATATTATATATATATATATATATATCATGTATGTATAGGTTAGTCATAAGAGATAGATGGGCACATGCACTGAGTAAACTTCTTTGGTAAACGAGTTTAATTACATTTATAAGTTTTCTGTTTGCAGTTACATACTAACAATCAGGAAAATGTTAGGATCCACAACATATAAATTGGATATGTGATATGTGAAATGTGATGTTTGATTCTATCACTGTGTCGCATTTTAAATTGTAACTATTTTTTTACCAAGGATCACGTTATTTTAAATTTAGTATATATTCTAAAGATGGTTTTTAGTTTAGTGATATAATTTTACAAACCAACATTTTAAGTGATATCTATGTCTTACCATGGGACATATATTATTGTAAATTTTTTAAGAAATTTTTCAAACATCAATTTCAGTTTTATACCGCCTGATGATATCTTGTTTACAAAATTTATTTTAATTGTAACGTTGTTAACACTAGTTTTGCAATAAACCTATTATCTATCTATCTATCTATCATATGGGGATATACATCGGGATATATCCCCATATAGGATTCACCAAATATTGTGAAGCCATGCATTTAGATCAACGTCAATCTCTTCCAATTCGAGGGCAAGTATTAGTGCTATGATACAACCTCTATCAATCCAGCTTCATTTTCACCTTGTTCATCACAGAGCTGAGTCCACTGTGCAGGATGGAATGCCAGTTCTCCAGTCTGCTGCCATGGTAGCCATAAAGCCGCTTACCCGAGCACTCACTTAACTTTGTCTCAAACTTGCCATTGACAGTATCACTGCAACCCACTTGGAATATATAGTCAGGAGATTTTGTGGGTTCCGAATGATTTGTCAGCTTCTGATATTGTTCGACCTACAAACACATGGCAGTCTTTAGTTACATTTATGTTGATCTACTATACGCTCAGGACATTTGAAATGATATTCAACCTTATTCAACATAGATTTGTGGACCAAGAGCGTAATGCCATATATATTTGTAATATGTAATATCTATATATGTAAAGGCCAGTGGGGACGTAAAAGAACCACTGAGGATGCAAAAAAACTTTGGCTGTGACCACCCTCAGTGCCATTCGGCTAAAAGGCTAACTACCTGGCTTAATTTACCCTAGCTCCAAGAAACGGTATTGCTAGGGTTAGAATACTGTATATTGACGTTAGTCACACAGCCTGGTTGGGTTAGCTTTACCCAAGCTAGGTCACACCCCATGGCTAGCTATAGCCCTGGACGTTTATTCCTTATGGACTGTCCAGTATAGAAGTACAAGTACAAGTACAAGTATATATATGCAAGCCATCATATATATAATATGCCTACTTGTTCAAGACCTAGTCTTCCTGCCCTTCTATCCACCCCACACCTTATTGAGGGGTGGAGTCAGTTAAATCAGTTAAATCAGTTAAATATCTAATGTGCTATTCTTATAAGGATTTTGCATTTATCATGTTTATTTACCTCATTTTTCACCAATTCAGCTGGAACAGCAGTTAATTGAAAGGGCTTTCTATCACTATTCAAGACCCAGTCAAGAAGATACCAGGCATCTTCAGATATTTCATACCCATCCAGTATCACTTGAGATAATGACGGAATAGCGTGCACTACATTTTTCTGAAAAATATAAATTGATCGATTATTGTAAATGACAAAGTTATGATGGAAGGCAGATATACATATATATATTGTGGACAATACATCAGTAAGATATAATATCACAGATCATAAAAAGTCAAACACAAATCAAGGACGATCGAGATGTCACGGGTTGGATTTTAATAGGGGATATTTGAAAATAACATAAGAAAATATCCCGCAATTGTATGCGCTGGGTATTATGTTAGTGATCAATTATTTGGTTTGAATTACCAATAGACTGGTAATATAGTGGTATGTAAAAAATCTTAAAATAATAAAATAAAAAGGAAGTGTCTAAACAACGGGATCCGGTTTCGGAGTGCCTTGAAAACTAACAACCGGTCTCTCCTCTAGTGCTAATTTGTCACTTATTTATTATTTTATATATTTATTTTTGGCTAATTTTATTTATTTTAAGAAGTAGGGTAGGTTTATGGTTAGGGTTAGATTAGGGTTAGGGTTGGTTACGTGTTTGGCGTGCTAATATCTCGAAACTTTGCAAGTTGTCTGAATGGCTGGCAACGGTAGAGCTTTCGCTTCTTGATTAGTAAGGTTTAGCGCTTGTTGCGAACCCATCAAGGTGTTTTAATTTCTTCTGCTGTTTCCTGTATTTCCTTGTAATTTTATTTGTTGTCTGCAATTTATTTGTTGTGTAATGTTTTGTTTATGTTCGGATTAAATATATTTCTTTATGTTTTGCATTAAAATTGTCTATTGAATATTTTGTCCTGTTATGCTCAGAAACTGCAATCAGGAGAAGAGAGCCGGTTTTTTAGGCTTTCAGAACTCCGAAACGCAGGTCCTAGTTTAGAGCACTGCCAAAATAAAAAATACTAGCACATGAAAGTGCCACGCTCTATGGATGGGTTGGTGACTCACAATTTTCTTGAAGTCTTTCTCTCCATTTTCAGTGAAATGCGGTGGTGAAGGTCGGAGAACTGTGTCGTGTCTGTAATTCCCTAGTGCAGCTACAAATAAAGACCAGGTCAAATCTGCCGACAACATATCATTCCGGAGAGTTGCAAGAACCCGCTCCTTCGAAGTTTCACTGCTTTCACCCTTATCTTGTTCTGCCATGTTGACACTGCACAAATCGAAGTTGTTTTGTTCTTCTTCCATCGTGAGCAGTGCGTAGGCCCTATATTATTTATGGTCTCTGTAAATAAATGCAATGCAGCGATAACAAAAACATCAATTTTAAGGTACACAGCTGGATTAGTCAGTCAACATGGTCACTGAGCAGGGAGATGAAAAGCAGTTACTATACTATTACTATTAGTATTATTAGTATTACTAACAAAAATAGTAACATTTATGATCATTGACATTGGTGATTACGCATTTACGGCAATGTGTTTAAGCACATGTGATGTGTCACAGTCATGTGATAAGAATGCTAAACTGTCCGGGGTCTAGCCCGACCAGGCTGTGCGACGGATTGTCTATACCCTAGCAATACCGGGGCAACCCCTAGCAATACCGTTTCTTGGAGCTATCCGGGGTCTAAACTCTAGTAATAGATTACTATTACTATTAGACTAATATTATTAGTTTCATCAGTGTAACACTACTTAGATCAACCATGTTTACTTACTCAAAATTGGTGACTGTCAAATTAGTAAAACCATTAATAGATATGATACTCAGTCATGATTTACGAACACCAAATCGAATAGGGAAATACGTAAACATTGACGGCTGTTGACTGGTCAATGCTGTTCACTTGTTTGTTTAGAAGCAGTATCGCTCTCACGAGAACACGCGATAAGTTTGACATTGGCGGGTAGTACGGAAAGTGAATTTATGTCACTATTTACTAAATAGTGTTCTGGAATTTATTGTAATATTAGTATTGGCTTTGCGGTAAGTTTTACATTGGTTGCTGCTCTAGGTTATATAATGAGTTTAAAATATGCTCACTTCCAACGTACTACGTAGTATTAGTAGTACTAGTAACTAATAGTAATACTATAAATAGGAGTCGGACTGTAGGCCTACCACAGGCACTTGGAACGTCTCAATAAAAAAAATTAATGGTAAATAAACATGAAATGTACCAAAGAAGTCTTAATGTTTCTCTAGGCCT